ACCACTAATATACTGCTAGTGTGAGGCTCTCTGTCAGAAATCTAAGATGGAAAATCAAGTGTCTTTTCAATCACCTCACCACAATTTGTGAAAATAGTGTAAATGAGTATGATAAAGAATGCTTCTTTGTTCAAATCTGCTAGGAATAATATTTATAGTTTAAGTGGTTAAGAAAAAGTCAAAATAATAATATTTCATGACATGTGAAAACTGTATAAACATTCACTTTTACTGCAAAAAACTATACTCATTGAATTACACATAATCTATAATCACTTTTATGTGATGGTGGCAAAGTACTTGAAACAAAAATTGCACATGGTGGGCTGTAGCTTGCTTTGCTGTGCTGCTCAGCAAGCTGCAAATCATAGGGATGTTGTTATAACTCACATTGTTTCAAATAACAGGCATGTCACTGTACTGCTGCAATTTATTAATTTTCAAAATTACCTGTGCTACCATTATTATAGATACATGCACAGAAACAGGATGGAGGGAGGAAAAGAGAGACTTTTGAGGCACAATAGAATGTGAATTCTTTTGTCATCCAATTAGAGAGGAAAGCATTGTGCTTGCCATGTCATGAGACTACCATTGTGGTAAAACAATGTAAGAGATGAAGCATACATCACAATTTTCCTAAGTCACAAAAACATTATGGCAAGAAATATGAGAACATTTGAAGCAGAAGACCTCATGACAACACAACTCCTTTACAAAAATAAAAGATGACAATGCAACTGCACCTGAAGCTTTTTGGAGTGACTTTGTGTCAGCCAGACCAGGAAAGACAGTAATTGATAATGGGTTAATTAAGTCATGTTTCATTGTAGTATCAGATGAAATAAATTCAGAAAAAGAGTAAACTGGCTTAGGAATGTTAGTGTTTTGGTGACAGTGGTTTCTTGGAAGTTTTTGAAGACATTGAAAGCAACATCAATATGTGTAGGAGGACATTGTGACCCTACAGCGTCAGAGAGCACAGGATTACAGCTGATTGGATAATATTTGCTTGAGAACAACCGAATGGCTACCTTTTGTATACCTGGTTAAATATCATTTGTATAAGAACAGTTGAATGGACAGTATGTGTATGAGAACATTTGGTGGAATATACAAGACAAAAGGAGTTCCAAACAAAAGCATAGAGACTGTTACTGGGTTTTGTTGATGAGCTCAATACTTCCTCCCTTATCTCATATGACCCTCGGTGTATAAAGTCTGAGGTCACTAATAAACTTCGGCTTTGACCATCAGTCAGGGTCCACGCGTGTTATTATCGGCTCCGTACACCAAGTCCATTGCTGTGGGACAGCGACAAATAAGTACTTTGAAAACAAGGTAAATGATTTGTAGAGATTGTCTTTGCTTCTTGGTTAGTTGGCAGATATTATTGATACAAATCTAATGCTTATTTGAGAAGTCAGTGCTGATATTGAAATGATCAAAGAATGGGTTTCTTTTTTTTAAGATTTATTTATTTATTTTTAAATTGGAAAGTCAGATTTACAGAAAGAAGGAGAGAGAAAGAAGGAGAGAGAGAGAGAAAGATCTCCAGTCCAATGATTCACTCCCCAAGTGGCCTCAATGGCCAAAGCTGAGCCGATCCAAAGCCAGGAGCCAGGAGTTTTTTCTGGCTCTCTCACATAGGTGCAGGGTCCCAAGGCTTTGGGCCATCCTTAACTGCTTTCCCAGGCCACAGACAGGGTGCTGGAAGGGAAGCTGAGCACCCAGGACATGAACCAGCACCTACATGGGATCTAGGCATGTGCAAGGCAAGGACTTTAGTCACTAGGCTACTGCAAGGGGTTCCAAAGACTGGACTTCTATGAATGATCTATATGGAAAAACAGAAGAAATAGTAATTTAGTACACCCCAAAGTGGAATCTGCTAGGATTGTTGCAGTTGTACTTGACAAAATGATTGTAGAGCAGAAAGAGATTCTTTGGACAAACGAGTAAAATGTAAGATGCTTCTTCGTTCTGAGAGTCATCATAGAGTACTTTGTGGAAAATATTAGAATCAGTGATGTGTTATTGAACTCTTTGTGCTAAATGTGCATTTCATTAGCTCTTTTGGACCTTATCCATGTCTAATTTGTAGACCTTAATTAGAAGTAGAGGTTGAATAGCTTACCTTGCACTATGAATTACATAGTAGTCTGGTAGTTAACACTGATACGCCACCTAAGCCTTGTTTTTTTTCAGGGTTGAGATTACAAGTTTTCTTAATGAGAAAAATAACCCTCAATCACTATTTACTGAGCACTGATTTTGTATGTAAATTAGCTTTCACTACAGACTTCAGGTTTCTTAATGGAATTCAGCTAAAATTACAAGGCAAAACAGCATTTATATGCAGAAACATACTGCACAGCACAGTCATTTTGATGAAAATTAATGTTTCAATCACAAAGAATGTCAACCTGGTTTATACATTTCCTGGGCTCTCTGAAATTCAAACAAAATGTGAGATCTCCGTTCCCACATAAATTTGCTCAAATTCCAGCGATATCGGGTTTTCTTTTCAGACTTTTATACAAGTGTAAAATGAGTTCCAAGTCTCAAAATCAGTTTAAATGTGCAGTTGGAGAGCTTCTACTTAACCTTCAATTGGAAGTGATTAATCAGCAATCAAATGGCAGACCCAAAGGCAAATACCAAGAGAAGATTTAATATAATTCCATTAATTTCATTGTTTCTGACCTATGAAAGTGATTAATTAAGATCATTTGCCCAAGGGTTGGCATTAGTACTTGTCAGGACCTTTCTTTTTGAGGTTTTGTCAACTGTGAGAATTGTTCAGCCACAAACTTGAGAATACACCATTTCAAACAGAACAGCTTTCTCACTTCTAACACCAATTCCAAGTGTGGGTTCCTAATAACAGTCATGTATCTGGCATCAACTGCAAGTTCAAGTGTCTCCCCAAACCATTCTTAGGGCAAACAACATGCTGGAAGGACTTATAGAACTGACCGAAATTATTCTGCTCAGTTACCAATTGCTAAACAAACAGGACAGAGTCAGTGTAGGCAAGGAACAACTGCAATAAGCAGTGTCCTAGGAAGTATCAGACACTTCCATTGTCCTCTCCACAGGAAGTCAGGATGCGTTACTTCCTGGCACTTACATGTGCCACATGTGTGGAGAGTTGCCAACCAGAAAGTCTTACAGAAATGCTGGTACCCAGGGTTTTTACTGGAGCTCTGTCATACAGATGTGATGGGTTGCCTACATGAGTTAGCTTAGTCTTCTGGTCTATTGATGGTGTGTTGCCCAAAGCCACTACTTTTATGGCATGGTTAACCCCCACCACTAAATTATGCTTTTAGTTTATCCAATGGGACCCAAGACCTCCAGACAAATCATGACAATCCAAGAGATTTCAGATTCCTTTTCGATGGAGAAGGATCAAGATCAGATTTCTTTTTAGGCAAAGCTAATTCTTTTCTGCATATGGATCAGTATTAATAGATGAAACATATGCATTATCTTTGAACTCTTGTAAAGCAAAATGTTGTATCTTCCCTGAAGTTTATTTTTATTTCCAGATATTTATTACTTAAGGAAATAAGAAAATATACCCCTTGATGAATATTATGATTTGAATTTTATCAACAAAAAGTTGTGGAAGCTCGTTTTCTCTCTTTATATATAGGTGCCTACATAATATCCTTCATTTTGCTTCTTGGCCTGCAAAGACTAAAAGATTTACCATCTGGGTATTTACAGAAAATGTTTGCCAGCCTCTGAAAACAGTTCCAATTGTTGCAATCAATGATTAGTTTTCTGAGCTAACTTGGCAAAGATACTGTCACAGTTTTTCAATCAAACAGCAATCTAAGTATTTTTGTAAATATGATGAGTATCCACCATCAATTATCTTCAGGTAGAAAATATCCTCAATAATTTGGAGAAAGTCTAACCCATTCAGTTGACAGACCTTAAGAGAGGAACCTGAGGTTCACTGGAAAAAAGGGAAAATTCCACCTGATGACAGCAGTTTCTGTTTCTCTTTTAGAAGTCCCAGCTTGCCATGCAAGTTTTCACACTTTCCTAGGTGATTCTACATTTCTTTGCAATAAGTTGTCACTTCACTATTTAAGTGATTCTGGTCATCTGAAATAATCCTTACTTACATATTCTGTATAAAAGGCAACTCCTAATTGGTGCTGTTTTGAGAATGACAAAATAAGTTTGTGTAAAGTTAATATTTTGTCCTAGCTGCCTGTTTGCCTTACAGGCTCTCCAGGGTAAAGCAGAAAAGGGATGACGAGAAAGGAGTGATATAGTGGCACATAGATGGTAGGCATCTCAAGCCTGTGCCTGAGTTGCCAGCATCAAGTATGGGCACAGCTCCATGTCCTGCCTGCTCTACTTCTGATCCAGTTCCCTGCAAATGACCAGGGAAGAGCACCAGAAGGTGGCCCAAGTAGAGAGGCCTGGAAGAAGCTTCTGGCTCCTGTAGCAATTTGGGGAGTGAACCAGTAGATGGAAGATATCTATCTATCTATCTATCTATCTATCTATCTATCTATCTATCTATCTATCTATCTATCTAAAAGCCAGAGTTATGTGTGTTATGGCTTTCAAATATATAAATGTTTTCTTTAAAAAAAAAAAAGAATAGAGAACTAAATTTCAGGAAGGCTAAATTTATCTTTATTGTGAGTGGAAGAGCCATTTTAATTTCTTCTGTTCAACAGCAAATGGTTACAAGTGAAGTGAGCTGTTACAGGAGAAGTCTCCCTCAGCTTAACTCTAGAGGTTCTCCTGGGGGTCACTGTCACTGGCTGTTAAGGCACCCTTGACCTCTTAACCTTGTCTGGGAGCGGCCTGCCTGTGTGTTTTCAAAGGACAATTTCAGAAATTTTATCATTTTTTCCAAGGGGTCTTTTGGAACCACACATCTACAAATTACCCCTGTTGTTACCTGCTATATACGTTGTTTTCTTGAAGACTCAGTCATGACAGGAAGTAGGGTACTAGTATCTTACCTTATAGTTGAGAAGATTGAGGCATCCAGGAATGGCAGGATTTTGTTCTGGTCTGGATTTGAACGGCAGCCTAACACCAACTCTCCGGCTAAGGAGATGGAGTGCCAGAGCGTCTCTTGGGTCTCCAGGTCAGGAGTCAGGAAAACCTGCGCTGTGGTGACCTCGGTGGCTCAGGTCCTGCCAGGTGGGCGTAGGCTCACTAACTCTAGGAGGAGACGGTTCGCACTGACCCCAGGCTTTGCAGGTGAAGGGTGTTGGAGTTTGTGGTGGGAGTGAGATTGCTCTCAGCCTTGTCTTGTGCCTCAGGCAGAAGGAGTTGGGCGGGGATCCCCGAGGTGGAGAGGGCGGGCCCAGGAGGGAGTTCGAAAAGAGGAAGGAAGTGGGGCCCGGCACAGTGCCTCACAACCCTCTCATAGGCTTCCCCACTGGAGGACGCGAGGCCCACACGACCCCCGGCCGGGCCATGACCCCCTGGCGCAAAACTGACAAGGAACGGCACGGCGTGGGTAGGTGTGCGCGTAGGGCGGCGGCTGGGAACCGGGCAGGTGCTGGACAACCGCGGGCGGGAAGATGCTGCGCGGGCTGGGGCGCAGGCGCGGGCAGACGCGCCTTCAAGGCCTCGGTTCTCAGGGACCGGTCTGCGGGGCGCGAAGGAGAAGTCGGCTGAGGAGAAAGGCTCCTCAGCCCGCCGGCTGCTGCCTGAAGGCGCCCTGTCGCCCACCGCGCGTTGCCCTAGCTGCTGGGCGGGTCTGCATTTCTGAGGTGTGCCTGGCAGAGCGCCTCAAGGGGTGGACTCTACCGCCCCATTTGGAGAAGGCCTGGCCTTCAGGAGGCCAGCGCTGTGCTGCTCTCTCAGTTATGGGCAGCCCAATGTGCCTGCTCCCACCTTTCCAATGCGACACCGTCTCTCTGCCTTCTGGTGGCCGGTTCCTCCTGAGGCAGGTGAGCCCTGACTTGGTGGAGCGGTGGACCAACACAAGCCTGGGGCGGCATTAGCTTCAGCCATCTGAGCTCCTAGAGGCCTGTGCCTCCAGTTTGAGCTGGAGCGGAAGTGGTGGCAGCTAGGGCGACATTCTCTGCGGTCTCCGTGGTGCAATCACCCAGTAAACTTCGGTGTGAATTTAAAACTCTGAAGATTGCCGCACAAGCCGGCAGCCAACTCCATGGTGGAGATGTGGATTCAGGCAAGGGAGGCACTGATTGGCCCACTGAAGTACCAAGAGTGTTTGAATGCAGGGGGCCCTGAGCCGTGTCTGTCCTGGGCACTAAGTACTGTGGGGGACATTTGCAGATGAACCAATAGTGATTCTTATCCTCAGGGGCATCTGTGAAATGGAAAGCTGCTCTGACGCTGGGCCGCCAAGCTGGGTGATGAGGTAGATGGAGATTGTTCAACAAAGCAGATGCCATGCAGGTGGATGGACCCGTGTGGTCTAGGAGATGTGGGCTGGATCGGGACAGGAAAGCTGGGAGCAAGTTCTGCCCTGAGGGGAGAATGCATTAACGGGATGACTGAGTCCTTGGTAAAGTGGAACTACATTTTGGAGAACCGCTGTGACTGCCCATCTGGGGGGCTAGGTTTCTATTTTTTCCCCCATGCAAGTGGTAGGGAGCATGGAGGGTTTCTAAGTAGGACAAGCACATAATAAGATTTTTGTTTAAGCCAGTATGGGGGGAGGTTGGGTGGACAGAAGAGCCCAGGTGGCACACAGGAGTCAGTGTTAGTGATGCAAGGTAACTAGGGCAGTTAACAGGAGATTGAGAGAAACGGAACAGAGTCTTACTGCACCAAGAACTGTGTGCATACCTGCTGTGCAGATGTTGCAATGCAGTGTGAATACCCTTCCTGTGGTGCCAAACTGCCTCCTCTTGGATTCTAGCTGCCAGTTCCTTTTAATCCCGTCTGTTACTCTTGCTAGGCCTCAGTTTCCTCGTCTGTATTATGGGGATAATAGCAGCAGCTGCTTCCCAGGAGTCTGGAGGATGACAGGAGATGCAGTTATTCAGAGGAATCCACACAAAATATAAGCAATTATTACCTGTAGACGTTGTCCCCATTGGGCCCAGTTGAGGACGTGATTTCATAGACGGAATGGGCTGCATAAAGGAATAAGATTGTCACCCCACTTGACAAAGGCTACCCCTGCCTGTGCGGATGGAACACACAGATGGTTGTGTGTAGAGGGAGTTGTAAGGTTGGGGACCCTTTAGGGTTCCTGGAAGGAACTTACAGGTGCCTACCCATTAAAGAAGTCTCTCTTCCCTGACAATTAGTCAGAAGCTTTGAATGTCATCTCCAGCCCTTCTCTCTAGGCTCTGGGTGGCTGAAAGGCCTAGGTAAGGCTTATGTTGGTCCTCCAGGGGATGGAAGCCCTACAGCAGAGAGAACAGAGAAGGTGACCCCTGAGTCACCCTGATTCTAGCTGTAACACCATTACCATCTGCACGCTAGTCTGTGCTCTGTTTTTTTTTTTTTTTTTTTTTTTTTTTTTTTTTTTTTTTTACTTTGAAGCCCAGCTACTAATAGCTGCTGCACCAAAGCTTTCTTTTGTGTAGATTATTTGGGGCAATGACTGTGGAGTGCTGGGAGAAGATGAAGAGCTGTTACTGCATCTGGGATTAGAGTGGGGAGGACTTACACATCCCTGAATGCTTTCCTGTTCAGAGTCTTTCTCAGAGCCAGTGATGTTTGTGCTCTTCCCTAAGGGCGGCTAGGCAGGGTGCTGGTGGTTGTGAGTCTGGAGGGCTGGGCTTAGCAGGGGCTGCTTCCTCACAGGTAACCACTGGCTCCTTTGGTTGCCTTGCTGACAGTGGGTAGCCAGGGGGAGATTCATGCAACCCCCTGCCCAGGTTTTATTTCTTTTCTAGCTGTAGCCTTGCTTCATCAGAGTACAGAAATGACCCTGGTGTGAAAGCAGCATAGAAATTTCCGTGGACAAGGCTGTGTGATTCCAAAGTAGAAAATGATACAGCCCTATCCTAGAGGGGTAATTGTAAAGTGTAAAGCTTGGGCTGCAAAGACAGAACTGAATTCAGATCTGAGCCTGTTTTCTTACCCATAAGGAGTGGGGAGGTAATAATAATAAACATGTAATGCAGGTCTCATGAAGTTGTTGTAAGGATTAAATGGGGAAATGCATATAGAACACTTGGTGGTGTGCCTGGCCCAGTGAGAGTTAGTGAGCAAGGGCAAGTGGTTTACCTGTCATTGCAGAACAAAGACACAGTGTACCCCAAAGCCAAGCTCAAGGTAGCCCTGCAATGTAAGGCACTACATTATGGACTGTAGTAGCTGTTCTCACGCAGTGTGTCTCTGATCCCTGGGAGACAGGGTGTTATTATTTCCATTTTGCAGATGAAAAAAAAAACCAAGTTGCAGAGTCCATATAACTTGGAATTTATGGATCTGGGCCTTGAATTCAATCATCTTCAGAGCCCAAGGCAATTTTCACTATACCAGGAGGGCGTCTAGGAGGGGGCATGCCATAGATAAAGGCAGTAAGCTAGCAGGTTGATGGCATGTGGGTGAAACAAATAGTCCAGTTCTGTTTTGGATGTCTGCAGTGGAGAGGAAGGTGGGAGAGCTGACTGGGGACAGACGGTGAAAGGCTGGGAGTGCCATGTGCATGCCTGGATTCCTCCTGTGAGCCCTGGGGTTTGGGGGTATGTGGTCACTCACACGAAGTTCATATAGTTAAATGAGAGAAACACCGGAACTAGACAGACCATAAACTAGAAAGGCAATTAGTAACAATTTTACAAATCAAGCCTGTTGACTGCTTGATGAGTTAATCTACTAGGAATTCAAGTATAATTAGCATTGCCTTTTTGTAAAAAAAAAATAGATTCTTTTTAAATTTATTTGAAGGACAAAGGCAGTGGGGGGAATGAGAGAGAGATCTTTCATCTTCTGGTTCACTCCCTAAATGCCTTGAGCCACGTGTGGGCCAGGCTGAAGCTGAGCGCCAGGAATTCCATCCTGGTCTCTAGCATGGCACTGGGCTAAGCACTTGAGCCAACTTTCATGGCCTTCCTGGATGCCTGAGCATGGAGCTGGAGGGGAAGCAGGTGCTGAAACTTGAGCTGACACTGCAATGTTGTCAGTGGCTTAACATGTTATATACCACAATGCTGGCTACTGGCATTGCCTTTTATAAAAAAAAAAGATTTATTCATTTATTTTGGAAAGTCAGATATACAGAAAGGAGGAGAGACACTGAGGAAGATCTTCTCTCCATTGATTCACTTCACACGTGGCCACAATGGCCAAATCTGCAACGAACTGAAGCCAGGAGCCTGGAGCCTCTTTCGAGTCTCCCTTGTGGGTGCAGGGTCCCCAGGCTTTATCCCATCCTTGACTGCTTTCGCAGGCTACAGGCAGGGTACTGGATGAGAAGCAGGGCTGCCAGGATTAGAACTGGTGCCCATAGGGGATCCTGGCACGTTCAAGGTGAGGACTTTAGTCGCTAGGCTACTGTGCCAGGCCCCTAGCATTGCCTATTGACTTTGTTGTAATCCTATTTGAGACGCTACTCAATAGAGAGGGCTTTCTGTTTTTAGTGAAGACCAAGGAAGGCAGAAAGGGAGGTGATAAAATAAAGTAATGATGCTAGTTAGGATGAAGTGTGACTGTGGAATGGCCAGTTTGTGATGAGATGGTAGAGCAGCGGCTCTTTTTCTCCCTTCGCTTCTGTGCCATGTGGCTTCTGCCTCTGGAACTCAGCTGGCTGCTTAAGCCTCAGACATTTTTTTGGAATGAGATTGCTTTTATTTGTTTGAAAGGCAGAGTTACAGAGAGAGGAGGTTGGGTAGGGGTAGAGAGGGATCTTCTATCTGCTGGTTCACTTCCCAAATGGCCACAGTAGCTAGGACAGAGTCAGGGACCAGGAGCTGCCTCTGGGTCTCCTATGTGGATCTAGGGCCTAAACACATGGGCCATCTTCTGCTGCTTTCCCAGGCCCCTTGGCAGTGACCTGGATTGAAAGTGCCAGTGCTTGGACGGGTGCCCATATGGGATGCTGTCATTGCCACATTGCTGGCCTCCAGCTTTTAGCCACTGAGTCCACCTTCCAGCCAGTGAGCAGTATGAAAGGAGCTACGTGACTGTTGCCTTCCCTTCAGTACGTCTTCCTGAAGGCAGAGTCAACCTTTCTTCTGATGTCCTGCAGGCTACCACTTCATCATCGTACCATGCCCAGCTGCAAGTGAAGCTAGGACATGTGGTCTGGGAGGCAGGCAGCTATGCAACCTGATTCACATTAGAGCTTGCATGTCTACAGAAAGAGAGAAAGAAAGACATCAGAAAGGAGGTATTTGTTTCCCAAGGGGACCAAAACAAAATCGCATAAACTGGGCAGCATAAATGAGAAAAATTTATTTCCTTATAGTTCTAGAAGCTGAACGTCCAAGATCAAAGGCCAGTGTGGTTGGTGTGTCCTGTGGTCTCGTCTGGTTTGCAAGGAACTCTTCCTGTCTCGTCCCAGGCCGGTCCTCCATGCCTTCTCTG